TATACATTCAAATTTTATCTAATGTGGAGAATGAGGAATGAAAATGAATTGAAAATTTCAAGGCAATTCATCAAGTTTTCCTTTTAATGTGAATAGAAAAATTTCCTCATAAAATAAGTTTAACAATACATTATAATCATTAAATTCTTCCTCTTTTCTTTCAAAATTTCAATCAAATGAAAACATTAATAAATGTTATTTTTAATAATGTTAAAAAATCAGGATTTTAACTCAAATAAACATTCTCAAATCACATTCAAATTAATTTTTTCAATATGGCGGCTGTATGGCCTGCCATTTTTGAAAATTATAAAAAACTGCTTCATCAGAAATAAAAAACGTAGTAAACAACTTCTTTTTTTAGCGGAAAATCAATTTTATTTATTATAATTATAGGTTATTGAAGTAATTATTATAATAATAAATATTATATTTTTGATTAATTCCGTAAAATTATATACATTAATAGATTAATTAATGCAAGTAATTATACGTGATCACGTGACAGTCGCGACAAAAATTTAAATTCAAAACATTGAATTAATGTAGAGAAATTAAGAGGAAAAGTTTTTCGCTTTAGAAACTTTGAATTAATAATTACTTTATGTCGAAATTTTTTTATTTAAAAAAAAAAAATTGACAATTTGTGAATAGTTAAATGTTAAATTCAAAAAATGCTTTCTTGACAGCTAGAATAAGGCTTCAATAGGTATGTTTGACGTCATAAAATAGATAAGGAAAATTTTGAATAAAAATCAAGTACTGTTTACAAATTGTAAATAAAAGTTATTTGGAACGAATGTCAGAGTTAAAATTAAATCTGTTGAATACAAGAAGATATATATATATATAAAAGAAATTGAATGAGAAAATAAATAATAGGCGATTAAATAAAATTTAAATTTTGGTTATAATATAGTTATTAAATAATTTATTAAAATATTTTTTAAACGCTTAAATAAATTACAATTTTTATCTTAAATTAAAGATATTTTTAATACCGATCATCGATTGGTCGAGTTTTGTCGATTGAATTTGAAAATTTATTATTAAATCTCCCTTATTATAAATTACATTTAACGAGATATTTTATCAATATTGATTTTTGAAATTTTGTTGTGTATTTTCAAAATTATAGGGGTTATTTTCCTGTAAAATTACGAATTATTTCATAAATTAAGATTAAATACAAACGTAATTATACATTACGAGTATAAATTATTTTCCTTTTATTATATTATTTCTTTAAAATTTTCCCTATATAGTATTTCCTATATAAAATAAATTTTAAAATTTTATTTTAAGATTAATTTTAAATAAATAAATAAATATTTCTTATTTTTCAAGGGTCTGTAGAGGAACTTATAAAAATTATTTCTTTTTAATGACAATTATTTAAACAATATGATTTATATAAATTATACACAATTAAACCTCTGAACAATAGCCCATCAGTAGATGTTGTTTGGAGATTATTTTGCATTCATTTTTTGTTCAAAGAAAAACGTTCTTGAAAAATTACCTGTTTAGAAGAGGCTGTTATTGCAAGTTCAATTGTATATG